GGTTTGGATATTACCCGTTCGGGTTTTGATATCTAATATCTTCTAATTCAATATCCGCTCACGTATTTTGCTACTTCGGTTCAATTTCGTTCGGGGTTTTTTGGGTCGGGTTCAGGTGCGGCTTCGGATATTGGGTAAAGTTCTCAGGCCTAGGATGATCAGTTCCCAGGCCTAGGATGATCCATGGATCTTTTCTCCTCGTTCGAGATCAGCATTACCAAAACACCAACACCTGTTTCTAAACCTAACACTAAAGGCATACATCCATCCAGAGAATATTAAAATTATTTAAGGTATGGCAGTTAGCTGCTTCCAAAAACCAGATTCACTTGGAAGGCATTTCAATTTTTTTGGAAAAGACATAGTTAAATCGAGTACAAAACGTAAAATTATATCCAAGTATAGATGCACGACCTCTTTACTATGGCTCAAATACAAAGCCACTACTAGCTTTTACTTGAAAACTAAAATGTTCTCCAAAATTAAAACTTTTATATGGCAAGTAGTATTCAAAACCCTCCTTGTTACAAACACCTTAAGGTCACATGGGATACAATGTGAAACAGAATACATCATTTCTGAAGCTGGGGAGGAAATAGTTAATCGTGTTTTTTTAATGTTTACCAACCATTCAAATATGTGACTTATCCAAGATATTCCCCAACCAAAGAATTTCTCGATCGTTGATATTCACAAATATGGATTATTCATTTTAGAGATTATCAAAGACTACGATTTAGTTATTTTTTGTGGATCATGTGGTATATCTGAAAAAAAAATAGAAATGAAAAGATTGATAAAAATAAGGATGAAAATCCACACGAGATTTTGCAATATGCGAAAATTGAAGGAACCTAATAAGCTGAGGCTCAACTACATGATATAGACAATATATAACGTGAAGATGCCTACAATTCATGAGCATGGAGATACATGTTGGTATTATATTGCTGGAACATTGAAAGAAGTAGACAAGTTCACATGACATGGATGGTTTTGCAATCGAGGAGGAACTGAACATCAGGTTATGGGAAAACGAATATATGTGGCAGCCTATCACCTTTATATACAGAGTGTGAAACATTGATTTGGACTATGTAACACATAAAACTCTTAGAATCACATATTTAGTTTTTTCAACAGACTGTTTTCGGATGATGAATATAGTGCCTACACTAACAGAATGGTCATCCTTCACTTCACACATGGACAAAATTGTGATGTTTTAAGGATTTTTTCGATAATTATTTCCATCCTACATAGATCAAAGCACATAATACCATGACCGAAAAAATTTCACTAGTGTTTGGTATCCACTATTAGATGTATGATATGTTGATTTCCTATCACAGATTTGACCACCGATTTGGCTTTCTAAATCATATTGTTTTTTCATCTTAAATAGATTATATATGTGTCAAAAAAAAGAAACTGCATTCCATCTTATATGTTACACTGAAAATGATTAAATTAACAAAGCATTTACACATCGATTGATAAATCCTGGAGAAGATGCCGATAGACTACACAATAGTTCCATCTTATATGTTCATCACGCACATTTATATGGAAATTTGTTTTAATATGAAAAGTTTTAATTACATGGACTAGATTTTCAAGAAATAAAGTATTGAACATGTCACTTACTCATATGTGCTTCATCAGTATCCACGAGATTATATACAACACACAAAATTAGGCCTGAGAATTTTAATCATAGCCCACAGGCTCCGCCTCATTTGATCTGCCGCGGGCGGATATGGATTGATCGATTTGAGGAAATTAAATTGTGGGTGCGGATGAAGTGTATTTTATGAGGAGCGAGTTGGTCTAACTTAAAGCGTGGATATCCGCCAAGAAAAAAGATTTTTTTAAGTTTATTTAAGTTTTTTTCGCATACAAATATCAGCTTAAAAAATAAGTTTCGTTAAAAATAACTAAAATTTACAAAAATAAAAAAATTTAATAACAATATAATCCCCTTCTTATTATTTGAGGAGAACTTTTGCAAATAAACCTTTAATTCATGTGTTTATTACATGCATGTCATTTCCTACGTGGCAACTCCACAAGCCTTCTCACACCTTTTAACTAAAAGACCTTAGTTTACTAGAATAATTACACAACATGCCATTGTTATAAATATACATATATGACATATATGATATATGATACGATATATGATATATATATAACCGCGGATTGGCTAAAGTATGATGAAGATAGCATTAATATATTTCCTTATATATTTCCTTATATACGATACGATATATTTTGTTACATAAGTATGATATATTTCCTGATATAAGTATTTTGTCATCACCTACGATATATTTCAAAATATATTTCGTTACATGAAGTATAAATAAAAATAGGGAAAAATGCGACATTATTTCATAATTAGGCATATATTTAAATTTTAAATATAATATTTTATATTTTATAAAATCGAACTTTATATTTTATATTTGGACAATATTCGGTGTACAAAATATTATTTTCTTCAACTTCAAAATATATTTCGTTACATAAGTATAAATAAAAATAGGAAAAAAATGCGACATTATTTCATAATTAGGCATATATTTTAATTTTAAATATAATATTTTATCTTATAAAATCGAACTTTATAAAATATTTCGACAATATTCGATGTACAAAATACTATTATCTTCAACTTCAATTAACATTAATGACCGAATCTGCATGCGTATTTCAGTTTAATGGTTTCTTTCCATTTGAATGTCAATCAGCTATATATAATATTCTGAATGAATATTCTATTTCATAATTAGGCATATATTCTATTTCAGTCACATAATTTTAGCAACTAAATCTCGGAATGTTTTTATTAGGTAAACGGTTTAATGGTTTCTTTCCATTTAAATGTCAATCAGCTATACAAAATATTTTTCGACAATGTCAACTAAAATTAATGACCTAATCTATGTAGATATTTCTAATATTGAATGAATATATTTCAGTCACATAATTTTAGCAACTAAATCTCGGAATGTTTTTATTAGGTAAACGGTTTAATGGTTTCTTTCCATTTGAATGTCAATCAGCTATATATAATATTCTGAATTAAATGATATAGCCATAAATTGGAATTTCCTTGATAGACAAGCACAAATCGCAAATGTAAATTCTATTTAAACATATATAACTCGAGTTATTCTTGGTCCATTCGATATTCAGACAAGCAAGAATAAACCTACACATCTTCTATGGCCGCCATGAACCTTATATCTGAGTTGAAGCCTTTCAAGAACCAATGGAAGGTTCAAGTGAAAATTGTCCGCCTTTGGAAAGAGTATTCTGCAGCTGCTGGGGAGACTATCGAAATGGTCTTCCTCGATGCTAGAGTAAGTTAATTTTTNACACATCTTCTATGGCCGCCATGAACCTTATATCTGAGTTGAAGCCTTTCAAGAACCAATGGAAGGTTCAAGTGAAAATTGTCCGCCTTTGGAAAGAGTATTCTGCAGCTGCTGGGGAGACTATCGAAATGGTCTTCCTCGATGCTAGAGTAAGTTAATTTTTTTAGAAATGATCGAGTTTTATTCTATTTCTCTTTTTTGACGTATGAAGTTTATATTTATTATTTTATTTTAAGTATATCATTACGATGAGTTTAAAATTTTAAAAGAGTGTGTGTTGTTTCGTAAACTAACTAATTGTTATTTTTGTATGTAGGATTGCAAACCAAGAGTTTTGAAGACAATTTAAATTATTATATCATGTTTAATTTTCTATTTATTATTTTATTTTAATATACTTTTTTCTCATTATATCATGTTTTGTTTCTCTATGTTTTATTATGATATTAATTATTTTAATTTATTTACTACTTTTTTTAGTAGACGATTTCTTAATTTTTTTTGTATTATCATGTATCTATAAGACAAATAGATATATAAGAAAAAAAGTGAAAACAAATAGCTATGAATCAATGCTTCGTTTGCAGCTATACTAATATTTCATTATATGACTATATGATTTTTATTACTAATTCACATCCACTACCTATTTTTAGTTAAACAAATTAATATACCAAATTATTCTTCGATCAAAATCAAAATAATCTCACCCTACGCAGGGCGCGGGTCAACACCTAGTATTATTTAAGAGAAAAGAAATAATTAATTATTTTTATTATTTAATAAGTACTTTTTATATACAAAATTAAGCGGACGGATAAAATATATTTCCTTTGCTGATCAGGTATGTTAAATTTGTGAATAGAACTTTAATCCTCTCGGATACATGTAAGCTATAAACCAACAGAGTTACAGAAGACTTTATTCAATAAATGGTCGAATATTTATTTAACTTTCGAGAAAGTTGTAAATGCATACTTCTATAGCTTCTCCTCAAGACTGGTACTGCATGCATACACACATTGCGGCTTTGTGAGGGAGATTCAAAACTCATGATTTTTTTATCGACTGATTATTATACTTTAAATATCAAAATCTTTGTATTTATTCTCCAAGATACATGTGTTTTAAGTCTTTGTATTATTAACTACTATAATTGTACTAGTGATGTGTACAATAAAAGGATGGACAAAAATGTATATAAACAGAGAAAACGTGGCTTTTGGAGTGTCATGACAATGATTAATTGTAGTTCAAAAAAAAAAAGAATGATTAGTTATTACACAATCCCTTAAACAACCATAGCTTTGTGGAACCATATTTTTCTTAGTTATTGCCAAAATTGATTATATTATGTCTCATTATTGACTCTATTTGTCTCTTGCTATTGACTTGTGAATATTACATCCTCGGATAAGTTCTAATTTCTGCCTTATTTTTACCTGGAAAATGCTTATAATATTGTATCAAAACCCAATATATTCACACCAGATATATATAATAAAAAACTGTCAAAAATAATTGAAGAAAGGCTGCCCATGTGGGCACTTCCAAGCAATCTCCAGAATCGATGCTTCAAATACATTGGATCTTTACTAAACAACACAAAACGAACAAAAAACACCCACAAAACAAGATCAGACGACCCATTTTTTTTATAAACACACAACTTCTCTCTTTTTATAACCTATTGTCTCATTTCTTTCTTCAACTTTCTAGTCTTCCTCTATCTTTTTTCAATATCTAGTTTGAAGAAATGGATCTGTCAAGTTCAAGTGAATCACTTATTGATGATCTTCTAGAAGATTACTGGTTCTTTGAGAACTTATTTAACAGGAGATCGAGAGTCTTAAGGTATTGTCACTCGGATCCTTACCCTTCTTCTTCTTCTTCTTTGACTTCTCCTGAAAAATCGGGAGATTCAGATGAGAGGAAGTCTCTAGAAGCTTCCACAGGGAGATGTTTGAACAGGGAAGCTTTTATAGATGGAAGAGAAGGAGGATCCGAGACGAAGCAGTTCTCTGAAAATATTAGGGTTCAAGAACAGACACCGGTTGTGTCTTTCTTGCATAAGAAGGAACGTACTGTTCTTACCAAATCTGGATCTCGGTCGGCTCCGGGGAAGATTCAAGAAGCTTCCACAGAGCGCAGTTTGATTCGAGCACCTTCTTTGCCTCCTCGGATAGATAAAAGAGAAATGGACTTAGAGGCAAAGAAGATGATCAATAAGCTTACACGGCAGTTCTCTGATAAGATTAGGGTTCTAGAAACAACGGGTGACCGTTTCTTGAATAAGAAGAACATTGTGTTTCCAGAGAAAGGTAATAGTGAGAGGAACAGGAGCGGAGGTGGTAATATTAGTAGTAGCAGTGTCAAGATTAGTTTGCAAAGAACTCAAACGATGCCTAACAACATTAGAAGAGGAGAAGATGAACTTGACGATCAAGAAACCGGCTCAAGAATGGGATTCTTGATTCGTGAAGCTCTCGCTAGCTCGCAAAATGTTCAAAAGGTAAATAATATTATTCACTATGTCAAAAAAATGGTTTTGAGGAATATGAAAAGCATAATAAAGATTGAATCTTTAATTCTTGATGTAGGTTTCAGGCAGACCACCAAGAAACTTGAGGTCAGAAGAACCTGTTTTGGTCAAACAAACAAGCCCAAGTCCCAAAACGCTGCGTAAAACTGTAAGTAGCATAGAAACAATCAAAGAGATTCAAGGTTATGATGACCAACTGGTCGAGCCACGTGTTGTGAACGGGTTGGCTACACCACCTAGGGTTCCGAAGGATTCAAGGAAAGATATGAAGGATCAGATCAAGTTTTGGGCTCGAGCTGTAGCTAGTAATGTCAGACAAGAGTGCTGAAAACTCTTCTAATTGCACTAATTAACTGTGTGTTCTTGTATGGCACTATTCTGTACAAGTGTTTTTATCTTGAACTCTTTGGCTTTGAATGTGACACAGGACTGCAATTTTTTTCCCATTCAACACAATTTTTGCAGAACAAAAATAAATAATTAAAAAATAAAAGATCTGCATGCAGAATTAAATTAGATAACAAATTTTTAATCTGCAAATAAAGAGAGAAAATGATTCTGGCAAAATTTTGGATTGTTCTTATTTTTCTTATTTCTATTTCTTTGATTTGTTATGGTCTTCTAGTTTGTTTGATTGCCAATTAATTTTGAATCTGGCAAAATTTTGGATTGTTCTTCTGTATGGTTTTTCCAATGGATTTGGAATGGAAAAAACTTCGGTTCAATTGAATCGTTTAGAAAAGGTAATTGACAGATCTACTGCGGATGGTGGCGACGGGTCTTACCGGCTTCAATCGTTGATGGTTCTTTACTTGATGGTGATGGTTTTTTTGCTGCTAACTATGGTTACTTCGAAAGACAGCATGAAATTCTATGGAATGGTAATCTCTTTGGCTCTGTTATTATCAATAGAGCAATATAAAGAGTTGTCTTCTCTCGTTGGCTCCTACTGGAGTAATAAAAAAAGAGTAACAATCGTTCTCAACTAAGTCTGAAGCGTGGTGTTTCTGGATTAATATGAAGATTATCTCCTAGGAGATTCAACTATTTCAGAAGCAAATATGAAGCTTTCACATGGAAATTTTTAGTCATCCATACACTAATAGATGTGTTAGTTTACTTTGGATCCCTACTGGTGTATCCCTTTTCTATATTGTTTTTGTCAATTCTCATTGTGTAAAACTATTTGCCTAAATGACTTAATAATACAATCCAGCGTTAAAAAAAAAAGAGAGAAAATGAGCTGGACATTTGCAGATCACTAATAATATATATATTTAATTGTTTTGGTTATAATTATTAATATATAATATATTTTACTAATTCATGTTATTTACTTTTAAACTAAATAATTAAATCTTTAAAATAATATTTAATATTTTACTTTATGAAATAATTTATTTAAAGCGAATTTTTAATATATAATATATTTTATTAATTCATGTTATTTCCTTTTAAACTAAATAATTAAATCTTTAAAATAATATATAATACTTTCATTTATAAATAATTTGTTTTAAAAATAATTTATTTGTAATATAATAATTTCATAAATATTGACATAAAATTAATATATTTAATATATCCATAACTTTTTATATTTTGTTTACAATAATTAGATATATATATATATATATTTTTGTATTATATATTTTTGGCTGCACTAAAAATTAATATATAGTATTTAAATTGATAAAAAAACATACATAAATGATACATTTATCTTTTTCTAATTAGCTTTGATATTTTCAGGTTGTTTTCACATATAAAGTTTTTAATGAAGATTTTGTGGATAAAATATTAGTTTTTTAGTTGAAAGAAATGATAGGCAAGAACCAAAATTGAATAAAAATATTAAATTTAAGTGAAAAACAAGAATATTATTTATAATTTTATTTATGTGAATTTTCATATAATTTAAAATTTCGATATATTGATTAACATTATGATATTTATTTTTATTTATATCAATTTGATATATATTACTTATTTATAATAAGTTGTATTTGTTTATATATTTAATTTTAATTAAAAATATTTAACATTTATTTAAATATAATGATTTATTAAATTAGTTTGATCTGCATTTGTTCTACTTGATCTATATGATATGCATTTGTTCTGTTTGATCTGCATTTTTATTTGATCTGTATTTTGTGATCTGCGTTCTCCATTTAGAACCTTTATGTGTTTATTTTCTTCCTGACCCTCCTGAAATAATGAGATTCCTCTGTTTATGTGATGATTGTGTTCTTTAATTTTTTTGGGCAAGAAAAAAAGTCATGATTATCATAAAGAAAAGGATATGAGAGGAAAACAACAAAGAAGAACATTATAATAATCAATTTTTAATTATAAATCTATATTAAAACCCAAAAAAAAAACATAATTATCTGTGATTTGATTGCGATCTATGCATAGTTTCCTAGAAGCATCTATACTATTAAAGTTGAAGTACAAAATTAAGTGTTTGGAAACATGAATAATAAGTATTTAAAATTAAGATGATTGAAAACAAGGATAGCCTACAAATCTAATGGGCTTACTTATTAAACTAAAAATTACTGCGGCCCAAAGTACCATTATTATTGTTTTTGGGTTTTCTATCCTTGATATTATTTTATTTCTGAAAATTATATATACATATATGTACTCGTGTTTTAAATGTATGTGGAATAAATCAAGAATAATATATATTTTATTTATATAATTTATATTGACTATTGTTAAAAGTTTTTAACAGTAATATACTAGCATTCCAATTCTTTATTAAAAATGAACTTAAAAATTTGACTAAATTGTTTAGTGTACATAATTTTTCACCAAATTTTGTCAAAAAAACTTTATAAAATAGTACTAAAATATTTACGGGTCACAACATTTTACCGACGTCCTGTTACACAATTCAGTGATGAAATACAATGTTTAAACAGTATACTATTACTTAGTAAAATTGGAACCGTATGATTGTAATTTTTAAAATATTTATATATACCTTAAAAACAAAGACCCGCCCAGTCGGGTGGGTTATGATCTAGTTCGAGTTAAAATATTTATCAGTTTCGATAATATTACACGTAAAAGACGTTGAATCATGTTGGGTTAAATGTTTCTTTAAAAGTAACTAGATTTGGATCCGCGCGTCAGCGCAGATTTACAATTTTTAAAAATAATTATTTAAAGACATTTTTAAATATATAATTTGTTTATATTTTTAAGGTTCTTACACATCAACCCGAACCAAAAATGATCCAACTCAAACCCCTCCAAAAATTTATAATACTTTAGTTGTATTTATCTATTTATAAAACTCTAAAAAATGATATCCAGTAAAAGATTCGTATTCGAAAGGGTCTTGGATGTCTATGTCTAACTGATTATATAAACAAATTTTAAGTAATATCTTTTAATTTTTGATTTATTTACAATTGAAAAATATTATTAGATTATTTAGAAAATTATTTATTTTTATTTGTACATAATATATTTCAAAAATTTTATAACTTATGCATTTTTCTTATTAAAACGTATAACTTATGGAGTTTGTTTTTCTTATAAAATTGTACTAATCATATATTAACCACTTTATTTTTATTTCAAATTGTAACAAAATATTGATTTATTTAATATATTATATATTTCTGTTTGGATATTTATTTTTACCTCAGAAAACAACAGCAATAAAATGGTGAACAAATATAGTATTGTTTTCTTCGTTTTATATAAGAAAGTTTAAATATTTATTATTTACAAAATTGTGCTATACAATATAACTCCTAAATCAACAATCAAAATTTACATAAAATATGGTCTTTATTAATATTTTCCTCAATGTCTATTAGGTTCACTAATTACTTTGAGATTTTTTTGCTTTCTCATATTATTCTCTATCGATCTCTCTCTCTTAGCTCGTTTCTTCTTTTTGTCGACGGCATTTAAAGAGATTGGGAAACAATATAAGAAGGTTTGGAGGTATATAGGTTAGAGAAATAAAAAACTTGGAAGGAAATTTTGTTTAAAAAATTAAGGTAATAATTTATTGTAAAGATTACAACTGAAAATCCAGCAAATATTGCAATTGAGAATCCAGCGACTATTAATCGGACGCAATTAATATTATGTTACCATAATTGTTTGATTTGTCGGACACAATTAATGATAATCAGACGCAATTAATATTATGTTACCATAATTGTTTGATTACTTGAACCAGTTGGTTAGCCGAGAGACGGGGCAAATTAACTGCTAATTGTTGTAAATTGTTAATTTTGATTTTGGTTACAAAGACACTAATTATCTTTGTTTCCAAACAATTTTTATTTAGTCTACTATTCTAAAATCAAAACAACGTTAATGTGTAATTCAGTTTTAAAAATATAGATTATGTTACTATAATTGTTTGACTAATTGAACCATTTGGTTAGCCGAGAGACGGGGTAAATTAATTGCTCATTGTTGTAAATTTTTAATTTTGATTTTGGTTAAAAAAACACTAAATATCTTTGTTTTCATCTTTGTTTTCAAACAGTTTTTATTTAGTTTACTATTCTAATTTCCAAACAACGCTAATATTAGCGTACTTCAGTTTTAATAATATAGATACGTAGAAGTAACTAGATTGAACAAGTTCTTGATTGCAGAGATCTCTCGTAAGACCAAAACAATAATAGTTTATGTGCATTTATTCAACTTCAAGAAGTTGATGTCAAATGTAATAACCGAGCATCCTCTGAAAGGATATACTAAAGCAAAACTCATATTAATTTCCATGAAATCTGATAATGTAAAGTTACAAAAAAAAAGCTGATAATATAACTATATAAGTATGTAATAGTCAAAAAGAGTATGTAATAGTTTGTATAGAGAAAATAATTCAATAACATGTGACCGTTAATCCCCTATATATTATTTGAGAATCATTTAAAAAGTTGTAACCTTAAGTTTATAAGAATTAACTAGATTTTGACCCGCCCTTATAGAGGGCGGGACAACCGTTTTTGCTTTAAATTATTGCCCTTGTTAGATTATTCACCAGTATGTAAAGGCTCGAGTATCCGGGTTCGGATAGATGGTCAATAAGAATTATGGTTTAATCCGACATATATAGATTAAATTCTTTCCGTAAATTCCGTACACGTAAGTATTTGTGATTTGCGAATTTTATAAATCTATGCCGCTAGGATGTAATATGTCGCCGAAATGTTGCGGTCCAAGTTAAACGGTATAACTGAAGATCCTCGGTTTCCTAAGTTTATGTTTGTGCTTATTTTGTAAGATCATTGAAGGTTGGTGTTGTTTACTAAAACTACAGTAACTTAATGTTGGCGGGTTGGCTGGTTTAGGGTTTTTAGTGGTTTTTAATTAGTGAATATTTCTTCATACTCA